TGGACAAACTTATATTGAAAGTGTAAAGTATCACGATTTGCGTTTTATAAATCGACAATAATTTAACAAATAAAGACAATTATTTGTTGTCTTTGGTTAAAAGATGAGAAATTGCGCGAATGCATTAACTCCACAGTTGATTTCGTATATTCGTTTAATGGAACTTACGAGGAAGGGCAATGTAATTCTTATGAGAGAGAGAGAGAGAGAGCTTCGTTGAAAACGGATATACTCGACGGCTGATTAATTGATACTAAATATAGATCATGCGTAATAATACGCGGGCGACCGTAGTTCATCGGCACGCAGAGTATACACGTGCTTTTATCCACAAGCATAACCATACCTACTTATTCGCCTAACTCGTGTTTTACAATGTACAAGTAAAAAAAAAANATTAATTGATACTAAATATAGATCATGCGTAATAATACGCGGGCGACCGTAGTTCATCGGCACGCAGAGTATACACGTGCTTTTATCCACAAGCACTTCTTTACCATCGTTGTCGTAGTCGTTGCCGTTTTACGCGACCCCCGTTCAGATAAAAAAAAAAAAAAAAAAATAAAAGAAAAATAATAAGATTTGAAATGATTTTGTTCTCTATATGTCCAATATTTTATGTTCTACTTAAAATAATGATATTATATTTTTATTTCCTGATTATTTAGATCATATAATTCGATTAAATTGTAATTATCAATGACCTCATTTATAATGTCATTTAAAATCTTGTTATTGTAACTTGAAAGACTGATTGTGCAATCATTGTATCCGTATTTGCATCTGTTTAATAGTATATTTTAAATAGGGAAACATTTATAAAAAAGAATTTTTGTTGTTTCTTTTCCTTCGGTTCTTCGATCAAATTTGTTTAATTATTATTTTAATATCGTTACTTTTATGACGGAGTCAATAATCCATACGTATTAATTAACTTTATATTTTGCTCTTTTTAAACTTTCTAATAATATGAATATATATGCAAGATTTCGTCGACGTATATATGTTTATTACGATTATATTCGTAAAAGATTTCTACCGTATTTTCTTCTTAATCAAGTTGTACAATACGTTATCTAATAATTATTAAAGTTTACTTTAATATATCGCAACCACAAGACACGTATGGATTTATTTTTCTCCGTTGTTAGAAGGCGTCAAGAATTTCATAAAAAAAACAAAAAAAAATAGGATAGTTATCGATAGAGAAAAAGTCCGAATGGGGTGGAATGATGAAAAAGGGCAGAGAATAAGAGAAAGAATGAAAGAAAGATCAAAAAAGAAGATCCGGTATTGATGTTACATAACAACCATTTAGTACACGGGAGCGTACGAGAGTTATCAGAAACCACCGGGCCCTATTATGCAACGAATGAGACGCAACTAACAAAGAATCGAGGGCGTTATTACGACGACGATGTAGAAGTAGAAAAAGAAATAGAAGAAGAAGAAGAAGAAGATGAAGAACATCGCGGAATTTGATCTTTGCTTGCGACAGCCTACAAACGACCCACGATTATCTTCGCTTTCGATCTATTGTATCGAGTTAGTGCGACAAAGAAAAGAAAAACATTATTTTCTATTTATATAGAGAGAGAGAGAGAGAGAGAGAGAGGGAGATTATTTTAAAGGAAAAACGTAAGAGAAATCTAAGCCTAATGATCATTTCCAATGTGTAATTTTATATTCACTGTACTAACTTTTTTATTCATTTGTCAAAAGAAAATAGTAGTAAATATTTATCATAATTAATTCGATATCTATAATTACACAGATATACTACTATACAATAATTATTGATTTTTAAGCATCGATAGATTGAAATCTTTAATAGGATGCGATCGATTTATTCAATCGTTTGTATATTAATTATAAACCATAAATTGAGTTAATATTATCCAACACATATATATATGTATGTTCACGTCTTCTTACCCTTATTATCTTTTCTATTATTTCTAACGATGTAAAAAAGATAGAGAAAAAAAAAAGAAAACAAATTACATAAAAGGTACCATTACGTAGTGAAAAATTATCTTGAAATAATATAGTAATTATTATTAAACAAAAATATTCGATTAGAGGTATGTGCTGACAAGCGACCATGAGAATCTTGACATTCTCCATATCGTCTGTATTAATTATGTTAAACGCTGACAAAAATGTCTGAAAAGGAAAGATAAATAAAATGATCGTCAAATAGAAAATAAGAGGAAGAAAAGTCGAGCTCCGCTTTCGCGGGAATGCATATCCTGGTGTAGATTTCGTAATGACCGATCGGCGGGTTCGTCTATGAGAGGTCGTGTCGGTTCGTGCACCTACTCTTGCGGTTAACCAATCACACGTAAGCCTTTGGCATAATGCACGCCGGAGATTTCGTCACTCATTCTCGTCGGTGCCTCGACGCCCGACAATAGAAATGCGCATGAAAGGTTACGTGTACTTGCTTTTTCATTTACTTACTTGCCACAACTTGTTTGTACCGCCTATCTCTTGGGGTGGGAGAAAGGGAAGGGATAAAAAAAAAGAAAAAGAAGAAAAAAAAAAAACGATAAGTTAGAGTTATGAAATACGGGGCAGGGCGTGCAGCAGCAGTGCAACAACAACTGCATCCTTCGTATAAGACAAAAAAAACTTCACCAATACACCATAACTATATTATATCCTTCGAGAATCGTCGTCCTACTCACGAAACGATTTTCACGAGTCTTCGAACAAACGATCATCGCCTATTGTTTCATCTCACGACTCCAATCACGTCTTTCCGCGTATTATGAAACTACGAGCCACTAGGGATAATAAATCCCATTGCCTCGATTTTTTACACGCCCGTATTTAGATCTACTTATTTTCATCCACGGTATTCAATTCGTTAAATTATATCTTTGTCGTAGAATTATAACGCTAAACATCCCTTCTCTCTCATAGACAATACTACGAAAAGTATAAAAAGGAGATAAAAATGTTACAACTTTTTTGATGAAAGAAAGATGTTCGATTCGAATTGGTGGGGTGGTTTTTCCTTTTTTATTTTTCAACTCAAACTCGTTTAACGAAAAACGCGTGCAATTAATTACGATAATTTGTTCCCCCTCTCCAAACTAAAGATAATGATTAATAATTTTTACTTGGATACTTCGTTCGTATTCTATGTTAGTTAAATACAAATAAATCGCCGTTAAAATATTAACGTTTTACATTTGAAGGAATTAATAGAAACGGGTTCTCTTAGGTAAGACAAAATCTGTGCTATCGTTTATTAACGCCATTATTATATACCTCGATTGCGGTTATTCGTCTCTTTACAAACTAATGCTCTCGTCTTCGAGATTCGTGTTACGAGATTCTCGATTGTGCAATATCTTAACGACTGCAGAAGAAATATTTCTCAATAACGATCGGTAATGTCTGTCCTCGTCTAAAAACTCGGAAAAAATTCGTTCTAGATTATCGTTAATAATATTACACCATGATTATATTTTCATGAAATTATTATATCTTAATGCGATATTCGTGCACCCACCAAATTGACATTTACGAAATAAATTAATATCATTAATAATAATTTCTCTGCCACAGATAATATATAAAAAAAGGAAACACATTTTTACAGTCCCATAATGTAAGAATATTTCAAATCAAATCGTCTATGTTCAATCCAAAAGTCATTAACACTTATGGTAATCCAAATTATTCCTAGTCAAAACAAATTTTTAATTTGAAAAAATATGTTATTTGTTAATACTATCACATACACTATTATTAATGATAAAATAATGATTAATAAATTCAAATAATTACATTTCTCGTGAGAAAAATATATAAATGTCGTTAATTACTTTTGGTTAAACATAGATAAAATATTTATCACGGTAAAATGATTAAAATAAGGAACATGTTAGGACTATTTTGATACGTTTTAGACGATGACACGTTAGTTTGTACAATTCTATCATGGTGAAGACGAAGAAAAGAAGAAGAAGAAGAAGATGATGAAGAAGATGAAGAAGAAGAAAGATTCTAATTTTAACGAAACGCCATACGGTATTACATAAATTATTTGCTTCTCATAAATCCAGAGGTTTACGAGAGCTTGGCTGGTTGAAAAATAGTTGTTACAGGCGTGGTACTAATTCTGACACGAACCATCCTCTTCGTACTTTTATCTTTTCTCGTGAAAGGTTTGTTTGTCGAATACGACTCCAAAGATCAAGAGAAGAAGAAGACTCGGGATTGATTTCTTTGCGATACGAGTCACGTGCGCTATCTCTCTTTTCCAAGGGGATAAAAGAAAAACCGATGGTGTTATTTTAATGACGATAGCGGCTTCTTTCTGGCGGAAAGAAGAAAAAAAGAAAAAGAACACCATAATGTTATAGTACGTTAGATCGAATAAAAGAAATAAATTACGTCAAATTGAACTAAATCAATTCTCCCGAGGATTTAATAATATTAACAAATACTTTATTTATCCCTTATCATAGTTATTACCATATATCTTATTCATCTATATCCTAATGTATTATATTTATATTTAAATTTGTAATTACTCTTTCGTATAGGTCGTATTTTAATTTATAAATATTCTACGATTATACAATGAGAAACGTTAGTGCTAATAAGTAGTCGAGGTATATGAGCTCGGAGAAAGGCAATTTTTTGGCTGACCGTGACCCGTTTCGAATTATATAAGACATAAGATATATAACCCGAAGGTAAGATATATTTTATACGTATATATGCATACATCTACAGAGTGGAACATTTCATTAATAATTCCTAAAAGTGTCTTATTAACATTTTCTTATATAGGTGCATTTAACTGATAGATATTATATTAAATTAAAGTATATTGAAATAACAACGAGTCAGAATATTACGTAATAATTTATAATAATAATAATAATAATAATTAACACGCTTTTCTCTACTGAAAACAAATTCTTGTTAAAGACGCGTTAACTTGTACGCAAGAAAAAAATAATATTTGCAAGATACCCTCATTTAAATGGGCCACCCTGTATACGATGCACATACGTATATAGAACAACGAATATACGTTGAATAAAAGACGCACCGAACTCGTCTGCTGGGTTAAGAAAGAGAGGGAGAATAAGAGGGAAAGAGGAACGTTGAGGTGAACACCCAGACAAGGTCAGAGAGCCGGTCGCGAGACCGATCCAGCCTTCGGGATGCAGTCACGATGCACATTGCATGCTATGCTTACTGCTCCTATGTTTTTCATTTTCCTTTTTCTTTTTCCTTTTTCGTTGTTCAATCTCCTCTTTTATTCTCTTCCATTTCTTTATTTTCTCTTTCAAAACTCGCATTGGAATTCTCGAGGTCTTCTCTCGCTGCATTTCTTTGTTTCGATAGAATCCCTAGAAACACGAATTAATCATTGTTTAATTCACATTCTGTTTATAATTATTATTGATTATTTAGTTATTCTCATTTAAAAAAGAAAAAAAAA